TTTGTTAGCGCTTTTACAGGTGCTCAAAGACGCTTTACAGATATAGTGAAGAACTGTTATGATTCACATATTCATTTAGTATTGAATAAACTATATTTTTTGGAGGAGTTAATGATGAATGTTCATCAAGATGCTTGCTCACCCTCCTTCAAATTTGAAAAACAAGTAATTATATCATTATTGATATACAGTTACAACCTTGACTTTACATCAGAAAGAACAAACATTAAAGAAGTGACTAACTGCATCAGTTAGGGTTAAAAAACGTGTATTCAGCTAAAACATCGCTGCAGTTATTATCCAGTGGAAGGTCCTTACCTACTGGCCTAGTTAAATCAAAGTGGTTACTTTCTGTTGGCTGGGCAGTGTAGTTTTACACACCGTCTTATTTTACTTTCTCAGGACTTAAAACAGTTTTTTGGGGGCAGACCTCCTCAAAGAAAAAATATATATACACGCATACAAGGTCATCATCTTAACAGTTTATTATGCTCATCGAGTCATCCGTGAGCAGAGCATCAAGTTGGCATGTCTATTACAGCTGAATGCGGCGATTACCCTCTTGTTCAGCAAAACGCCTCACAAACGTATTAAGATCAACAGCTGTAGTGCGTTTTGATTCAATGCTGAGTACAGCCAAACTGACAGTCTCTTCTCTGTCATTGTAGACCGCAAATACCTCATTCCTTCAGTGCTTGGGTCCGAATGCTTCTCGTTTTGCGCCGTCCCCCCCGTTCAAGTGAATTCGCCACCAATCATATTTCCACTCTCGCGTCAGGGCCGGGGGAGGGGTTACAAGACTCGCGTCTTGTGCTGCATTCACTTGCACTCGGACATTAGAGATTTTCTCTCATAAATGTCCGATGAGCCACAACTTTTCTTTCAAAACAAAGATGCCAACTGGGGTGGCAAGGCTATTGTTTAGGGTGGCAGTTGCCACCCCATGCCACCCCGGTAGATCCGCCCCTGCTGCAGAGGGATCTAGATTCAGGTGTTCTTTTCCCCATAGCCTCACTGCACATTATCCCTTGCATAAAGATAGATTGTGGGTCCTTTATAACATGTTGCACACAGTGGAAATAAACATTCTGGTTACCTCAATATCAGGGATCTTATACATTAAACTCCTTCTGAATCAAACCGTCACGGTACCCTTACCTTACTGATCCCTCTTAAAATAGAAAAAAACACTTTACCAGCATAGAAAAAATGGATTATTAAATTATTAATGTGACTAATAAAGAGCAGTTTGATTATTAAGTATTATTCTGTTGATCGATGTCATTACATTTGGTGAAAAGCACATAATGACTTGTTTAAGACTCGTTTTGTCAAAGTTTAGGACTTGGACTTGACTTGAATTTGCCCATCCTGACTTGAGACTTGACTTGGGCTTGACTTGACTTGAGCGCAAAGACTTAAGACTTGACTCGGACTTGAGCGCAAAGACTTGAGACTTGACTCGGACTTGCAAAACAATGACTTGGTCCCACCTCTGCTAATGTGTATATTTTACAATTATAAGTTGTGTCAAAACACTTTGTAATGACATTTGAAGGGATCGCTTTTTTATGGCCAAAATAGGTAGGGCTGTCCTCGACTACAGACATTTTAGTCAAAAAAGACCAAAACTAGTACATTTATTGATTGAGAGGGTGAATCCCCTGAAATAAGGACAGAGGACACAAGCAGAAATGTGTCAGACGTCTGAGCCAAAGAATCCTATAGCATGTACAGATGGTAGAAACGTGTACAAAATGCTGGATCAGCTTTTTATTGAGGTTTTGCGTTTTTTTATACACACAGTCTGCCTAAGGCACTACACAACCTTAGTCAGTCTGTCTAGTGTTTGGGGAAGAGACATCTATGGACTTTAACCCCTGTGCTCCACAGATACCATGTTTGGGTTCAAAGGACATTAATGTGGATCACTTTTATTACTGCAATTACCTTTTTAAAGTTATACCTAATAGAGAAAATAATGGTATAAGGGGTATCAGCTGAATATCCCAAATACATCTGTCGTACCACAGTTAGGAATTTGCACATTTCCTTTAGACAGCAATATTTTTCTCTTATAACAACTGTGTTCGGTATTGACACTTTAATTCTACCTGGACTTTCACAATCAAATCTCTCTGTTGCTGTTAAACACTGAAAATCATCCAACATAAAAGAGTGTGAGACGTCAACCTTTTTACCTGAAGAAATTATATGATCATTAGTTGTTTCCAGCCTAAATGGGCAAGTTCATTTAAACTTAATCCACAAACCTAATTTTCATTTGTCTCAGTGAAGATGTGTCATTAATGCTTCATCAGATTTTTGAGAACCTAATTGGAATGTGAAGATGAAGATTTTAACCATAATTTAAAATGACATATTTTAAACTTTTATTAAAAAGGGGAAGGGGTTTTGAGTGTTTGACTGAGAAGCCAGGCAGAGACAGAGTGGGACCGCTGTATGTGAGAAATGCTCTGTGAGGCTGCTGCCCTCACAACGATGGGCCCACGCCGTACCAGGAAGGGAAGAGACTCTGTGGAAAAGAGCCAGTATTGTCTGGAGACAGACAGTTTATGTTGAGCAGCCTGGAGTTTTAATGCGCAGCCCCGATGGTATAATGAGTAGCATATTGATTATTGTGGCTGGCCTGGCCTCGGTCGATCAGCTGATGTCCTGTGATTGTATAGAGAAGCTTTGGACTGAATTTAAACTTGGTGAGGGCTACATAACAAATGTAAAACAACTACTTTGGATTACAAAACCTTATACAGCTATTACTCCTTATAATAATACAAATATTTAATCTTTCAAGCTTTATCCTTCACTTAAAACCCCCAAAATATAACACATTATGTATCAAATTGCTGCTATTTGAATGTCAATTTTCACATGTGCAGTGTAATACACATCAATTTTGTTCTGGTTATTTAAATAAACACTCTTTGAACACTTTATTAGCTAAACCTTTACAGTTGAATTTACCTTTAGAAAACCTGTAATGGTCCCTTTTCGTATACACACGCTTAGAGGTGTCAATGTAACTAGTGGTGGTTTCGAACTGGACAGCATTTAATTGAAATGTGTTTTTATCATTTTTTTATCAAAAGAGGTATACAGAATGTAGTATATACAATTATCCAATTTGGGATCAACAAATCACATCTTACCTTAACTTAGATCTAATATATTATAGCAATGATTGTCAACCCTGAGCTCTTGTAAGCATCTGTCCGTCCACATCTCATGTCATATCCTTTCTCACAGTAACTCCAGGAAATGTCCCAGACAATCGTCAGCATAATACTGTGTGTGTGAAGGCATCCAGCATGCAGGGTAAACAACAAATGATGTGGGTGATAGTTATAAACTTACCACCCCCATGAGGAATACAATGGTCTCTAGGGGTTGAAGAAGTGGGAGGAAAAGTGTAAGGCACTTGTTTGTCTGTGGCTGGATTCCACATTTGCTAAATGTCTTTTTAAACTATATCAGTGAATACATAAGTGTCTTCTGTTCAACGATTATAATACAATTGGTTACAAAAAGGTCTGATAGCACTCTAGCTATAAAGGTACATAAATTGGATTAGTGCATTCATTATTTACAACAATGTTGAAACTGAAGCCGCTACATTTTTATTCTGCTGTCAACTATTTTCATTTTTAATCTACACATTTTCCTACATGTCCAAGTGTCTTCTGTGACAAAGGCCTTTATGTTAACTTTAGTAAAACATGTACTTGCGTGATGCCTATGGTTCACATTAAATTGAAGGTTGACAGTCTCAGAGAAACCAGATGGGGGCATCAGTTACCTAGAATTGCTCTCATGATGGAAGATGAGCTTTCCCTCCTTTGCACCTTTAAAGCATGCTCATTTCAAAGCTTCATGTGTTCCCATAAGCATAATATTACTACACGCACACACACACACACACACACACACACACACACACACACACACACACACACACACACACACACACACACACACACACACACACACACACACACAAAATATGACTCAAAGGCAGAGGTGGGAGAGGTACTCAGAACTTGTACTTGAGTAAAAGTAGAAGTACCAGAGTGTAGGAATACTCTGTTACAAGTAAAAGTCCTGCATTCAAAAGGTTACTCAAGTAAAAGTACCACAGTTTTGATATCAAAATATACTTAAAGTACCAAAAGTAAAAGTACTTATTATACAAATTGGTCAATTTCGGAATCATATTTATTATATGTTTTTATTATAGTCATTGATGCATCAAAGTGTTATCGAAGCTGGTAAAGGTGAAGCTAGTTTTAATGACTTTGTATACTGCAGGCCAGGTAGCTTGTCAATTTACTCCAGTTGTAACTAAAGTCTTATTAAAGAGTTGATAATATTTCACATCATTAATCCATATATGCAAAGTAACTAAAGGTAACAAATAAATGTAGTGGTGTAAAAGTACACGATTTACCTCTGAATTGTAGTGGAGGAGAAGTACAAAGTAGCATAACATTTAAATACTCAAGTAAAGTACAGGTATCTCAACATTTTACTTTAGTACAGTCGCCTACTTGAGTAAATCTACTTAGTCACTCCCACCTCTGCTCAAAGGTAATTCACATTTGAAACAGGCCTTCTTGCTTTGAAAAAGGGATTGCCTTACTTTAAACAGGTAATAGGTTGTCATATTTTTTTCTTTAACCAATATGTTTGTGTAGTGTTACAACAATAGCCACTTGTTTCACATATTGTGTTTGTGAGGTGTCTCCAGAAGAGGATGCAAAGGGGTCTAAACACCTTGTCTTGCAAATGACCCTTTAATCAATGACAATATTGGCGTCATATTTGCATCAGTGTTTTTATTGGTGAAGTAGTTGTAATAATGTGTCTTCTGCTGGAGGTCAGGTGACCCAATCAACAGATAGATCACACCACCCCCTGATAAAGGGAGCAACAGAGGAAATCCAGCTGTTTTCTCATTTCCTGGACTTCACCTCCCCTCCTATAGGACCCCCACCAGTCCCCGGACCCCAGTTTTGGAACCACCGGTTTTAAGCCATCCCTCTCTGCAGGCTCCATGCTACTATTGTCTGACAAGAGAGCGGGCTATTTGCAAAATAAAGGTCCTCTACTACCCCACGTCTTAGCCTCTATGTGGGCTGATGCATAGAGGCAGGCTGGGTTTCACCGTGCAGCGGGAAGGAGCGGGGTTTATCAGCGGTACTCCTGTTGTGTTTTCCCCGCGGACAGCTTCTGCTTCTCGGCGGTCGGATGCTGGAAGTCCTCCCCGATAAGAGAGCACGTAGGGCTCGCAGAGAAAAAGAAAACTGGGACGCGGAAGGAAGGAGAGACAGGGGAGCATTTTAATACCAAATCGGGACACATGTTGAGCTAACAGCCCGCTCCACCTCCCCCTTCTCCTCCCAAATGCATTTGTTGCCTCAATCGCGTTCCCGTTACTAAATCGTTAGGATATCTGCTCTCCGGATCCACGGATCTTCACTCCGGGACGATCTCGATCATGGATCTCAGTAAAATTGTAAGTGCTTAAGAACTGATTTGTTTTGTTATCTTCACCGACAGCAACAGATACACCGAGGCTTTGCATGTTTTTTGGAAGTGGGGGTGGTGTCCGAGAAGTCCTGTTGCGCACACACACACACATGGGCCGATTACATGCAAGTTATGCTCTACGCACGCAGGGACTTGTTTGACGGTTATTGCAGCTAAATTGGTCTGTGGGAAGTTTGAATTGTATTGTGACGAAGAAGACATGAATGTTTTAAAAAGCTATCCTTGAAGTGTGTCCACAGGGTCCTCGCTTAATGTGAGAACAGATTGAGTCCACTTAAATGTAGTGGAAATAGCCAGAATAAGACACTGAGATCCCAGGCTTCTCTTTACTTACACTGTACAAAGACTGGTAAACAGAGCTGGTGTAACAATCATTACTTTATCTTATGTTGTGGATGGGGCATTAATACATTAAGGTTTGCAGCTTCTGGGTCTATTTTTGGGTCCAAGAAGTGAAAATGTCTGAGATGTGCTCCTCTGTTGCCCAGAGCTTTCTTCTTTTCATGGCTCAGTGTCCAGCTGCAGGTTCATTGGAAAAAAGTTCAGCAAAGCTTATATGTGCCATGAATCTCAATTACAGGTTGTATTGATGTCCAACCTTAAAGACAGAGTGTGTCTTTGTGTTACTATCAGCGTGTTACACATATTAAAGAGACACTAGCTATGCATTTAAGGTCGAACAAGATGGTATATTGTGTAAATCACAAGTTTGACAGTAAAAAGAATACGTAGAGTTGTGTCAATGCTAAACAAGCTCGAATCTTGCGTGCATTTATCTTCCTTTTGACTCAGAGTGATGTGAATGATGCGATAGAGGCTAAAGTGTACTGGAGCAGGTGCACGTCAACCAAAGCAACAAGACTGGCCTTTCACTGCCAACATGGATGGATGGGTGTACTTTAAGTCCTTGTATAGTAGGTGTGGGGGAGGGTGTTTGATAAAAGCACACCAAGAGTTCTCTCTCCAATTCTCCTAAGCTAAAGAAAACTCTGAAAGTTGGTTTGGAAGAAAATGCTAAGTAGAAACATTCAGATTAGCTCATTGTTATAGAGGTACGGAAGCCAATCCATTTATTTTGATAACTAGAACAGCAAACTCACTCTGATCTATGAAATAAAGCTTAGCTGCCCACATGAAGTCAGTGGGGGCATGTAGTGCAGACATGGTGTAGGTGGAGTGTTGGAAAATATCTTCCTGCGGATCTTCATTCAGTTGCACTTCACTGGTTATTTGAGACGAATCTCTTGATGTTATTTGGGAAACCGTATCAGAGAATCTAACACAGTTCTTCAAAGCTGTTATCCTTGGTTGGTTTCTGACTTCTTTCCGTCGCTATGTTTTGGCTGTTTGGCATGTAGTGAGACAGGCTGGTATGAAAACAAAGTCCAAATAGATGCAGACTCTACATTCCCACGTTGTGTATACTGTAAGTCCAGAGTTGCTTGCTGAGTGGCAAACATATTAACAATCCTTTTCCTTGTAATGGCTGTGAATTGTGAGTTTTTTTGTATTGTACCACAGTAGCCACAATAGTTGAGTTAACCTGCTGTATTAAGACCTTAGGTGTACTGCACCTGTCGCATTTGGAGATGGAGTTATCTGAAAATGTAGCAGTCCAGATTTCTTACAAAACACTTCCAAGTTTCAACAATCTCTTAAGTGTCAGAAGAGAGATAAGCAGCACAGTCTGCTTTGGCACTTCTTGCCTTTTTATGCTGTTGATACTGATTGTCACATTGCTACTTTAAGCTATACATGTAAAATACTTTTTCTAAGTTTTATAAACCGACAGAGAATACATTTGAACATAATTCATATAGAATTTGCTTAACTTGAGCTGTTAGACAATATATCATAAAATGAATAGTTAATCTGAGCCTTTAATGTAGAAGTAAACAGAAATGCATAGGTTTGGCTACAATGAAGAAAAAAGGTTTATTTATAATAAATGCAATTATTAAAACATTGCAATATCAGACTTTTGTATTGTTATATTGAAACCTTTACATTTTGCATAAGCACATGTACAGAAGAGAGAGCTGTCTTATCCACGATAGACCTCCTTTCTTTTGCCTCATACCTTCAGTATAGTCTTTAATTATAAACATCCAAAGAGGTTTTTTTTTTAAACAAATTCACCAAATTGAGCTGGCAGTTGTCAGTCAGACTGCAGGACTTACAAACACTGTAAACAGTTTGTTGGCTGCACAAGTTTTCCTGTTGTGGTTTAATTGGTGCCAGATCACAACATAAGCCATCATCAAGTCTTTAGCAAAACAAACAAACTCTGTGATGTGGAAGCGTGTTCGATGCTGGGGAGTAATGAGCAAGTGGGCTGAGGAGCCTCGCTGAGCTGCACAGATGTTCCTTTTATAACGTGTCCTCATGACATCACCGGTCCTGCAGGAAGTTGAGCTTTGGAGCCAAAGCTCCTTCACACGAGGCTGCAAAAAGCCTTCCTATTAGGAGAGGCCCATAAACCTGCCACAGGGGTGTGGGCCTGAGAGTTTAATTATGCTGGAGCCCGGCCTTGTGTGTGTGTGTGTGTGTGTGTGTGTGTGTGTGTGTGTGTGTGTGTGTGTGTGTGTGTGTGTGTGGTGTGTGTGTGTGTGTGTGTGTGTGTGTGTGTGTGTGTGTGTGTGTGTGTGTGGTGTGTGGTGTGTGTGTGTGTGTGTGTGTGTGTGTGTGTGGTGTGTGTGTGTGTGGTGTGTGTGTGTGTGTGTGTGTGTGTGTGTGTGTGTGTGGTGTGTGTGTGTTGTGGTGTGTGTGTGTGTGTGTGTGTGTGTGTGTGTGTGTGTGTGTGTGTGTGTGTGTGTGTGTGTGTGTGTGATGGCAAAAATCATAATCTCGATTATTTGGGTCAATAATTGATATCTCGATTATTAAAAACAATTGTCCATTTACTTTGAAAACATCAATTTATTGAATTAAAAAAATTTGAACAGTAGGTTTTTAACAGTTGATTACCCTGAACATTAAGTATAATTCAACTGAAAAACCAAAAACAAATTATTAAAATAATTAAAAAGAAATAATAATAAAAAGAAAAATCGTTTTATTTCGATTATGTTGTTTTCATAATCGTTGCAAGCCAACATCGTAATTGCGATTAAAATACGATTAATTGAACAGCCCTAGTGTGTGTGTGTCTTTAACCAGCTGCTGCCCTGCACTGCTGCCCTCAGGAACAGAAGCCCGGTGCTCTGAGGTCACATATCCTGAAGCTCTATGTTTTCATGCCTTTTAATGGGCTCTTTAGGGACGGACTCATCCCGCTGGGCTTATCTTTATCACCAAGTGTCCTGTTATTCATGGGATGGAAGATCCTCTGTGAATTCTGTGGAAAATAAGCTGCTTCTTACTGTCTGAGAGTCACCATTGGCCCGTCAGCCCTTATGATTGTAATAAGGCTGATAGATGCTGAGGCACCATAGATGGGCAGGTTTCATTATCGCTTACCAGCAGAATTATTCATTGCAAAGCAGAATCTGTTCGCTATGTCAATATGCAGACTGCTTCACTTCCTCTTCCAATGATGCCTGTATAAAATGACCCCAGTGATTTCTAATTTCTCTTCTCACTGTGTTTTTCCCTGCGTGCATTCATGTACACAGGAAAAATAACTGCTCTAAAAAATACCACCTTTTCCACCACCCTCCTCTCCTCAGTGCCACCGGGCTCCTTTTCAAGAGGTGTCGAGTGAATGTTGTATGGGAGCGGAAGTTCACGTCAAAAGCAAAACAGAAAATGGTCTTTAAACAAGCAACACAGAAGGCTCTGTTCTTAGGAATGACCTTTGGAGTCGGGTGGAGTTACTTTTGGAACAATGTTTGGGCCCAAAACACTTTGCCATTTATCATCGAATTTTCTTAATGTGTTTTTTGTAAGAAAAAGTGCCATTGCATGTGTGTTTAAGTAAAACACACTGGCGAGGCTAGCTTTTGGTTTCAAGCATTTCTTTTTGGTTATGCATCTTGAGTCGTAAGGAGAGTTGTATTAACTTCAAGTAAACAGTTTGATAAACCGGCTCGAGATACACTTTTTGTTATATTCCATGGAATGCTCTTAACATCCCGATAGCAATGAATATCTTTTCTGAATTCTGAATATCTTCAAAGTGCTTTGACAAAAAATCCATACAAAAATTTCATCTGTGGAAGCCGTAGTACTGTAAAAAGCACGACCAATCATTTTAGCCGGCCCGGCAAAAATAACTGGATGGCCTACCTGCCTGTCAGCCTTCCATCTGTGCACAAACTTATCTCGTGCCCTCATTGGTCATGTGCGCGTTCGTGTGTGTTGGAGGAGGGGCTCTGTAAGGAAGTGGCAGATCTTTTCCGGCTGTGTATTTTCAAATTCTAGCGCACTCGAGCTGCTTTCTCCAAAATTACCTACCCCACCTTTAAAGTGCACAAACAATGTTAGCTTTAAGCAGTACTTGTTTGATCAAATAAAATACAGGTTCAATTACACACAAAATCTAAATGTATCATGAACTGGATCATATAACTAGGTTATTCTAAAAGGGATTTCTGCAATGATGAACCCACAGTCAATTATCAACGACATACACATATTAGAGACTTCATGGAGAACATAGTGGAGCATTTAGCAGCTAAAGAGCAAGGAGTTTCCCCAACGACTGATGTCTTTAAAAAGATAGGATATGGACTTGAATTCATCAAGTGACCAGAAACACGTAAGCTGAAGTTGCTCCATATCTTCTGCATCTGTAAGTAGGACACTGTTAGTAAATGCACCTATATTGACGTTATATAACCTATGTTATAAGTTGTTGTAGCCCGAATCCTGTATTTTGATAATTTAAAGTCAATAGGTTAATCAAATGAACTTAGAGGAGTTGTGTTTGTCTCCCCTGTTTTTAAATGATGTCAACTTGTTCCCAGATCTCAGCGATTACTTTGGCAGGTATATTTTTACCCATAACTGATAGCCAGAGCTACA